AAAACCATTTTTCGTGGAAATGGTATACAACTCTTAAAAATCAATATTTTTCAATCGGAAAACTGTGGTTCTCTTCAGGAGACTTCCAGTATTAATATCCAATTGTTAATTTAACCATTTTTAATGATTAAAGATTTTTCCATTGCATTTTCTAGGGGTTTTGGAGGATCTATAAAATATAGTTACTATGAAAAAATGGTTAAAGAGACAATTGCGTATTATTACTGGGAATCTCCTGAAGATAAGAAAAGTTTTCCGATTGAAAACTGTTGATTTTCAAGAATTCTACACTATTTCTACGAAAAGTTGTTTTTCCCCCATATAAAATACATGGAAAACTTTGAGCGCTTTGAGCACTCCCTATTTTTGTTTTTTTTTTCAGAATAAAAAAATAGGGGATATTTTTTTCGATATAGAACAATCCTAGGGGGTGCCGACATTAAAAATCCGACCTTATTTTTTTACATACATTTTTGTACCACTTTAATGTACATGTGCGAACATTTAGGACAAAGAAGAGAGCATGCACATTCATAATATGATACACCGAAAATAAGTTATTTTATTTTATTGATAAAGAAAAGGATAAAGGCAAAGCTAAAAGTAAGAACAAAAACAAAGATGCGTAAAGATAAATGCAAAAATTAAGATCAAGGTAAATTTAAAGTTTTACTAACACTCTAAAAAATTTTTGTTTAAATTTGCGCATATTAAGATAGGTAACCAGTTTCCTCTCTTCATGAATGCAAATCTACACACGGTGTTGATTAAATTAAACACTGCCCGTTTACTTTTACTTATCAGATGTGTGGCGTAGAACATATTTCAAATTAGTTTGCTGAGTTCTAAACATTTATTGTTCACAATTTCACAGTGTACACATAAAATAATTAAAATTTGCTCTAAAAAAATTCTTTAAATTTACGCATATAAAGAGAGGTAACCAGTTTCCTCTCCTAATGCGTGCAAAATTAAACGCTGTCTGTTTACTTTTACAAACGNCATTTCTTTACACGACATATACGTACACATATGTATGTACATTAGAGTGGTCCAAAAAAATTAAGTTGGAATTTTAATGCCCGGCTCCCCCTAGGATTGTTCTCTATCGAAAAAAATATGCCCCTATTTTTTTATTTTGAAATCAAAAAATATTTAGGGGGTGCTCAAAGCGCTCAAAGTTTTCCATGTATTTTATATGGAGAAAAAACCATTTTTCGTGGAAATGGTATACAACTCTTAAAAATCAATATTTTTCAATCGGAAAACTGTGGTTCTCTTCAGGAGACTTCCAGTATTAATATCCAATTGTTAATTTAACCATTTTTAATGATTAAAGATTTTTCCATTGCATTTTCTAGGGGTTTTGGAGGATCTATAAAATATAGTTACTATGAAAAAATGGTTAAAGAGACAATTGCGTATTATTACTGGGAATCTCCTGAAGATAAGAAAAGTTTTCCGATTGAAAACTGTTGATTTTCAAGAATTCTACACTATTTCTACGAAAAGTTGTTTTTCCCCCATATAAAATACATGGAAAACTTTGAGCGCTTTGAGCACTCCCTATTTTTGTTTTTTTTTTCAGAATAAAAAAATAGGGGATATTTTTTTCGATATAGAACAATCCTAGGGGGTGCCGACATTAAAAATCCGACCTTATTTTTTTACATACATTTTTGTACCACTTTAATGTACATGTGCGAACATTTAGGACAAAGAAGAGAGCATGCACATTCATAATATGATACACCGAAAATAAGTTATTTTATTTTATTGATAAAGAAAAGGATAAAGGCAAAGCTAAAAGTAAGAACAAAAACAAAGATGCGTAAAGATAAATGCAAAAATTAAGATCAAGGTAAATTTAAAGTTTTACTAACACTCTAAAAAATTTTTGTTTAAATTTGCGCATATTAAGATAGGTAACCAGTTTCCTCTCTTCATGAATGCAAATCTACACACGGTGTTGATTAAATTAAACACTGCCCGTTTACTTTTACTTATCAGATGTGTGGCGTAGAACATATTTCAAATTAGTTTGCTGAGTTCTAAACATTTATTGTTCACAATTTCACAGTGTACACATAAAATAATTAAAATTTGCTCTAAAAAAATTCTTTAAATTTACGCATATAAAGAGAGGTAACCAGTTTCCTCTCCTAATGCGTGCAAAATTAAACGCTGTCTGTTTACTTTTACAAACGAAATTTGTCACGTAGAGAAAAATTACACACAAAGTGTTTAAAATTTAGTAAATATGAGCACTTAACAGTGGCGGATCCAGGGGGAAGGGGGAATTGTGAACATGTATTCATAATATTCAACTGTAAAAAATGATGAATGAGATATTTTAAATCCGAAAATATTTCAATTTCCCTGAATATCGTGAAATATCATTGCAAGAATATATAATGAATGGATGCTTTTGAAAATTTGAATTCATGGAAAAAGGGTGTAAAATTTCGCTTGAGTTTGAAATTTTAGTTGTGTACTAAGCTTGTTATTTGAGCAGCCTTCATCTAGAAGCGTTAAATTTTGAAAGACGCGCGACTCAGTTGGTAAATCTTGGAAATACATTCAGCTCCGTCTGTGAACTAATCAATTAGTATATTCCTCACAGTTTATCCGCAAAGTTTCCCCAGATATGGGAAAACTTACAACTGATTGAAAACACTGTATATTGTCATTTTGTGATTTGTTTGGACTGTGGAAGCTTATTATTGAGAAATAATTCCTGTAAACAAAAGACGCTGCAGTCTGCGATGGTAAGTATCTATTCCATATTCATGAATTTATGATAGTTTTTCGTATAAACTAAACTTTTCGAATACTCGTTGATATCTCATTGCGTGCCTTTTGGCAATCGACTAAAAGAATTGGAATCCAAAAATTTTCCACTTTTCTGAACATTCCCAAAATTTTGTATTGATATAACCGAGTTTGAGAATTTTAAATTTTTCAACAATTTTTATTGAGCTCGAGGCCGTTTTTTAATGAAAATTTTATTGTGGAAAAGCAACAATAATTTGAACAAATGGAAGAAGTGATAGCTATTTCGGAAATCACCACATTTCCTCATCAGACTTCTTTCAGTAGGCTTCGAACCGACGATCCCACTGACTCAGCCAGTTGCCTATGCACCGTGCTAAGTACGCCTTGTAAATTATCGTTTGCTTTTTTCCACTATTTTCATTTTTGTTATGCCAACACAATCAAGCGCAGCTATTCCGCTGCAATTCACTTGATCATGTGGTTGTTGGTATTGTTGGTTTTTGCTAATAATTCTATTTTTAGAATGTTTAACTTTTAGGTGTGCTCGTCCTTAAGTTATTTGTTTTTGTTATTTTTTTGGCCTTTTAACAATTATATTCAACAATTTTTATTGAGCTCGAGGCCGTTTTTTAATGAAAATTTATTGTGGAAAAGCAACAATAATTTGAAAAAATGGTAGAAGTGATAGCTATTTCGGAAATCACCACATTTCCTCATCAGACTTCTTTCAGTAGGCTTCGAACCGACGATCCCACTGACTCAGCCAGTTGCCTATGCACCGTGCTAAGTACACCTTGTAAATTATCGTTTGCTTTTTTCCACTATTTTTAATTTTGTTATGCCAACACAATCAAGCGCAGCTATTCCGCTGCAATTCACTTGATCATGTGGTTGTTGGTATTGTTCGTTTTTGCTAATAATTCAATTTTTAGAATGTTTAACTTTTAGGTGTGCTCGTACTTAAGTTATTTGTTTTATATTTTTAAATTTTGAAAACATTAACCTCCAAAACTTTTTTGAATCTTCAAGAACTACGAAAATTTTGAAATTTTCAAAAACGACGAAATATATAAATGTTTTCAACATTCGAAAACTTTTAATATTGTTTAATCAATTTTGCATATTCGACACTTTTACTTAGAAAGAATTTGTTAGGNTCCTGAAGATAAGAAAAGTTTTCCGATTGAAAACTGTTGATTTTCAAGAATTCTACACTATTTCTACGAAAAGTTGTTTTTCCCCCATATAAAATACATGGAAAACTTTGAGCGCTTTGAGCACTCCCTATTTTTGTTTTTTTTTTCAGAATAAAAAAATAGGGGATATTTTTTTCGATATAGAACAATCCTAGGGGGTGCCGACATTAAAAATCCGACCTTATTTTTTTACATACATTTTTGTACCACTTTAATGTACATGTGCGAACATTTAGNCATATAAAATACATGGAAAACTTTGAGCGCTTTGAGCACTCCCTATTTTTGTTTTTTTTTTCAGAATAAAAAAATAGGGGATATTTTTTTCGATATAGAACAATCCTAGGGGGTGCCGACATTAAAAATCCGACCTTATTTTTTTACATACATTTTTGTACCACTTTAATGTACATGTGCGAACATTTAGGACAAAGAAGAGAGCATGCACATTCATAATATGATACACCGAAAATAAGTTATTTTATTTTATTGATAAAGAAAAGGATAAAGGCAAAGCTAAAAGTAAGAACAAAAACAAAGATGCGTAAAGATAAATGCAAAAATTAAGATCAAGGTAAATTTAAAGTTTTACTAACACTCTAAAAAATTTTTGTTTAAATTTGCGCATATTAAGATAGGTAACCAGTTTCCTCTCTTCATGAATGCAAATCTACACACGGTGTTGATTAAATTAAACACTGCCCGTTTACTTTTACTTATCAGATGTGTGGCGTAGAACATATTTCAAATTAGTTTGCTGAGTTCTAAACATTTATTGTTCACAATTTCACAGTGTACACATAAAATAATTAAAATTTGCTCTAAAAAAATTCTTTAAATTTACGCATATAAAGAGAGGTAACCAGTTTCCTCTCCTAATGCGTGCAAAATTAAACGCTGTCTGTTTACTTTTACAAACGAAATTTGTCACGTAGAGAAAAATTACACACAAAGTGTTTAAAATTTAGTAAATATGAGCACTTAACAGTGGCGGATCCAGGGGGAAGGGGGAATTGTGAACATGTATTCATAATATTCAACTGTAAAAAATGATGAATGAGATATTTTAAATCCGAAAATATTTCAATTTCCCTGAATATCGTGAAATATCATTGCAAGAATATATAATGAATGGATGCTTTTGAAAATTTGAATTCATGGAAAAAGGGTGTAAAATTTCGCTTGAGTTTGAAATTTTAGTTGTGTACTAAGCTTGTTATTTGAGCAGCCTTCATCTAGAAGCGTTAAATTTTGAAAGACGCGCGACTCAGTTGGTAAATCTTGGAAATACATTCAGCTCCGTCTGTGAACTAATCAATTAGTATATTCCTCACAGTTTATCCGCAAAGTTTCCCCAGATATGGGAAAACTTACAACTGATTGAAAACACTGTATATTGTCATTTTGTGATTTGTTTGGACTGTGGAAGCTTATTATTGAGAAATAATTCCTGTAAACAAAAGACGCTGCAGTCTGCGATGGTAAGTATCTATTCCATATTCATGAATTTATGATAGTTTTTCGTATAAACTAAACTTTTCGAATACTCGTTGATATCTCATTGCGTGCCTTTTGGCAATCGACTAAAAGAATTGGAATCCAAAAATTTTCCACTTTTCTGAACATTCCCAAAATTTTGTATTGATATAACCGAGTTTGAGAATTTTAAATTTTTCAACAATTTTTATTGAGCTCGAGGCCGTTTTTTAATGAAAATTTTATTGTGGAAAAGCAACAATAATTTGAACAAATGGAAGAAGTGATAGCTATTTCGGAAATCACCACATTTCCTCATCAGACTTCTTTCAATAGGCTTCGAACCGACGNTTTTTAATGAAAATTTATTGTGGAAAAGCAACAATAATTTGAAAAAATGGTAGAAGTGATAGCTATTTCGGAAATCACCACATTTCCTCATCAGACTTCTTTCAGTAGGCTTCGAACCGACGATCCCACTGACTCAGCCAGTTGCCTATGCACCGTGCTAAGTACACCTTGTAAATTATCGTTTGCTTTTTTCCACTATTTTTAATTTTGTTATGCCAACACAATCAAGCGCAGCTATTCCGCTGCAATTCACTTGATCATGTGGTTGTTGGTATTGTTCGTTTTTGCTAATAATTCAATTTTTAGAATGTTTAACTTTTAGGTGTGCTCGTACTTAAGTTATTTGTTTTATATTTTTAAATTTTGAAAACATTAACCTCCAAAACTTTTTTGAATCTTCAAGAACTACGAAAATTTTGAAATTTTCAAAAACGACGAAATATATAAATGTTTTCAACATTCGAAAACTTTTAATATTGTTTAATCAATTTTGCATATTCGACACTTTTACTTAGAAAGAATTTGTTAGGATTCCTACAATTCTCAAAATTTTAGAAAAATAAAAAATTTCTAGAAATCTAGTATTTATCATTATATTGAATTATTCTGATATAATTTCTCAAATTCACAAATTTTTGAAAGTTTAGAAAATTTGGAATTCAACTCGTTATTTAAAATTGAAAACATCAAGAAATTCAAAACTATCAAAACTCTAAAAATTTTTAATTGCGGTGATTTTTAAATTTGTGAAGTTTTTTAAACCTTTTGTGATTTTTTAAATCCATCCTCCTTCCACCCCAAGAATTACTGCTGGGTCCGCCCCAGGCACTTGATATTTATTATTAGTAAAAAATATATTTTTACGTTCAAAATTTTTGCAAATTTAAACACATTATGTGTATTTTTTAAACATCTCATGTTCAAAATAAAATCTTGAACATCTTGTGCGTATATCTACACACATTCTGATTGAAAAACAAACACTTTTCAGTAGTAATTTTACATGCACTTTTTAGAGTGAATATAAGGGCAAAGGTGAAGGGGTATGTGTAGATGTAGAAAATGATAAACATAAAGATGATAAAGGAAGAAACATTAAAATAAAGGTAATTATAAAGAAAATTATATAGAGACTCAGCCTGGGAACTATTTCGGGATTTTCGGTATTTCTCGGGACTTATCGATATAATAATCGATAGTTTTATCGATTTTGTTATCGATATTTTTATCGAATTTGTTATAGCTTTGCGTATCGATATTTTAATCGATGTTATCGATAATGTTATCGGCTTTGTTATCGTTATTTTTATCAAATTTGTTAACGATTCGGGTATCGATTGTGTTATCGATATTTTTATCGATTTGGGTATTGATTTTATTGATATTTTGCCACCGCATGACCGTGACGTTGACGTTGCTTATCTCTCTCTCTCTCTATCAACGGCAAATTTGATATGTTTCTACGCACTTCCATGGTAGCCTGCGTACACGTTCGTGCGTAACCGCGCTCTAACACTTATTTTTCCTCTTCCAGCGATAAGTGTCCGTGTCCAACAGCAAGGGAAAAAGATATGCAAATAACCCTTTCCCACTGAGAGGAGCACACATCTACAAAAAATAAACCACCTGTTCTGTTTTGTGGGTTATTTTTTCTCTTAAATAGTGATGGCTATTTTGGGACACTTTCAAAGTGGAGGGATATTTTCGACCTCTGATAGCGACTGACTTTTGGCAAATAAACGTGCAAGAAATAGTTCCGATACTAGCAAATCAATATTCTTATTAAGTCTCATCAAAAAATTCCTTATCGTTTAAAGAATAAAGAGAATTCCGCATTATACTATAGTCTGCTTCCCGACATAAGCTACTATTCCACAAGAACACAGATATACAGGCATGTTCTGCAAATCGTACGATTTCAAATCGGTGCGATTTACAAAATCTATTTCGGAGGATTTATATTAAAGAGGGAAAAATTTGGCGCTAAATCGATGGACATAACGTAAATGATGGGTTTCTAGCAGTTTCCATTTGAAATATTTAATACTTTGATTAAAAATATACAACAATACTTTGCAAATCGCACCGATTTTAAATCGTACGATTTGCAGAACATGCCTGATAATTTCATGCATTTTTCCAACATCCGGCATGTGCTGAAAGTCGTACTTACCTAAAGGGCTACACGCCCAAAATCATTTCTACGTGTTCCTATTTAATTAAACTTTGCATATTTATTAATTCCTGCAAAATTGGACCATTTAATATTAATATTATCAAATTATTCTGCATTGTTTACATATTTTCCTATGCGTTTTGTCCTTTCTCTTTCGCAATTGCACCAAGATGACGTCACTCAAAAATTACGCTCAAAAATCCTCTCATGGTCGCAATCTTGTATTCCCGGCAAACATTGAGGTTAGTTATCGGTTGGAGAATGATTGGAGGACTAGCCACGTTCTCCAATCTCAAACGTTAGAGAACGACTCGAAAAACTATCGAGAATCATAACGATCTCAACAAAAATGGGGCATAGTTCTCGACTCGAGAAAATATTGATTTTCCAATCGTATTCCAATGTTGATCTCTAATGGGATTCGAGTGTGAATTTCAAACTGCTGTTTTGCCTTGCTTTGTTTGTAAAATTTGTATTAAATGTATTCACAATTAAATAATAATGAATTATCTGAACTTAAAAATAATTTATGAGTAATTCATTTGGAATATTGCTTCTTTACATTTATTTGAATTTGCGTTGTTGCTCTAATCGTTCTCGAATCGAATTCTAATATAATTATCTAACTTCGTCATCGACTCGAGAACGATTAGAGAAGTACCCTAGTTATCTAATGTAGAAATCCAAATTTCTCTAACGTTAGAGACTGTGTTTGCTGGGTTCCCATGGTGAAACGAATACTATTCTATCGGTCTTGTTGTATTCCAGTGGTCGGCATACTAATACGACGTTTCCACGCTTCGTAATTCGCTCTCTAAGTAATTCGTGAATTACCCTGTTTCCACGACACATTCGTTATTAGTTTGGCATCTCTACTTCTTGTTCTTCGCTATTTATTATTATTTTTGTGTAATGCAAATATCGAAGATGGAGAAAAAATTTAAGTTATCGTCAACGATTTTGATTTATATTCAGGCATGTTCTGCAAATCGTACGATTTAAAATCGGTGCGATTTGCAAAGTATTGTTGTATATTTTTAATCAAAGTATTAAATGTTTCAAATGGAAACTGCTAGAAACACATCGTTTACGTTATGTCCATCGATTTAGCGCCAAATTTTTCCCTCTTTAATATAAATCCTCCGAAATAGATTTTGTAAATCGCACCGATTTGAAATCGTACGATTTGTAGAACATGCCTGATAGAGAATATTTTATTAACTTATTTCCCAGCAACTAGAAAGTGCCAGCAAATGGGCCAGGCCGGTGAAAATTTCGATATATTTCCGATAAATATTAGAGAAGGCACCGATTCGTTCGTCATTCGCATGGTAATTCGATATGAATTACCTCAAAATTTTTTATGGCGAATTACGTATTTCAAAGGGTAATTGGATGGCGAATGACAAATGCGGGAGCGAATTACGAATGAGAGAACACATTGCGAAGCGTGGAAACATCGTATAACACATTCAAACGATTCAATGAGTGAGACTGTGTGCGTTAAATGCACTGCTCAGCTGCCGCTATTTGTATACGTGTGAACAGGGCTGCCAACCATACTTAGCTATGAAGTGACATATTGAGGATAAAAAAGTGCCAAAATGTGCCAAATAGAAAAATAAAAGTGCCATTATTTTTAATTCTTCCCATTTACCATTAAAATTAGAAATACATTCCTAAAACAAAAGTCCAATGCCAACCAGCTGTATACACTAAAGAAATTAGAAAATTTTAGTTGAGAATAATAAGTCCACGCAAAGGATTTCACAAAAATGTATTGAAATATTACTATTTTTCAAAAGTGCCATTTTGGCACTTTGTGCCAAATTGAAAAATTAAGTGCCATTTTAAGTAAAATAGGGCTACAAATGCCACGGTTTGAGCCAAGTTGGCAGCCCTGCGTGTGAAACAACAAATAAATATTTAACATTAAGGCGATTTATTTGAAACAAATTAAAAGAAACAATGGCAGAATATCTCTTTGTGTATACATTCATTTGTCAGTGCTACCAAACCATATTGCCAAATTATTAGTGAAACAAAACAAACAGAGCGGATCATAAACTGAACCAGACATCTATCAGGATCATATCGTTGTTGTTGCGTTTGCATCGAAAATTTTCCACTCGATGTATAAGTAGTCGATGCATCGATGTTTTCTGTAAACTGACATCTCTAGTACATCGAACCTCCAAACATCGCTTTGTCTGAAATTCAAAGGAAGCAAGATGCAGTTTATAGCTCATAAAATTTTAGTATAATAAAGTGCAGGTTTCAATTGCTTTCATTTTTAATACTTTTTCTTTTGCTGACTTGCACTTTGTTATACTAAAATTGTATGAGCTATATAACTACATACCCAAAAATTTTCCAAATACTCATATTAAAAAGTTCAAAATATTGATGAAAATTTGTTGATTTTTTTATAAATTTTGTATTGAGTTTGAAATATTGTACTACATGGTTTTGGTTAAAGCATGAACAATATTTCTATAAAAAATAATAAAAAGCGTTAACTTGAGACATGTTATGTATACTTAAATAAAAAAATCAACACGTGAACACTTGTCTGAGTCACCATAATAAAAGTTTGTTATATTGTTTGAAATTGCTTTTGTTTTAATTCCATAGTGGAGAAAACTCTATGCGTATCGATGCATCGATGTACGCCCTCCGATGCATCGACAAATATCGATGCAACGATGCGAGGAAAAACATCGATGTAGTTTTGCCACTGAAATCCCTATAAAACAGTGCTCCCCAGTTTCTGTCGGGCCTCCACCCCTTTCTTTATGTAGAAAAAAAAAACGTAAGGCTGTAGTTTAACGTTTTTCATTTTATTATAATCAGTGGATATACTGAAATAAATATTTATTTTGGGCAGAAAATCTAAAAACATATGTATGCATTTTTAATATGTATTGCCTACAAAAATGCGCATGTCAACAATAATAAGTTCGTGCGGATTTTTGAAAAGGTCGTAGGCTACAAGGTTTTAAGTCAAATGATTTTTTCTTTAAGCAGCTTTAAAATTTAAGTTTAGCTTTTTCTCTGATGTCTTTATTACAGCAAATTCAAACATCACATTTAAAGTACGTGAATTCCGAGATAATTATGCCAATTTCTTAAATACACTTATTTTAAGTAGCGACAATGCAAATAAATTAGCCGCCCAATTCTGTGTTTTCTTGATAATTTATTTGTAAAGAAATGTTATTAAGATTTGTATCAAGTAAAAGCTCCCTTCTTCGCAAGGCGAATTCATATAAGGTGGTATCGATTCAACAAATACAATTACTTGTATTTTGTTTTTCACTCACTAGCAAAATATAAAATTTTGACCAGGAAACGCTACTCAATACTGTTGAAACAACCACCTTATATAAATTCGCCTTGATTTCAACATGAGGTGAAATTATTTTATTCTCACATGTGAGTAATATGAGTTTAAAAGCAAAAAAGCTTTTGACTGTCGTACCGAGTGGGTATAGATGTCTACTATAATTTCGATGTGTCGCAGGTTCAAATACCGGCACATGCGGAATTTAAATGATAGAGACAATTTTCTCATATACAAAATTTATAATTTTCACATTCAATTTGTAACCGCTTGTCAATAGCATTTTCAATCTTGATAATTCATCAAGAAAAGAGCTTTTGATTTCTGTGCTAGAATCCCAATTCTTGATAAAAAATAAAAAATTGCCAAATTATAAAATATGTTGAATTTATCAAGTGCACAGAATCGGGCTGTAGATGCTTTAAATCTTAAAATCTAGTATGAGTCTTTTGTTTGAGCTGTTACAAAGTGCTTATGCATTCACCTGAATGAACCTTGAACCGCACCGATTTTGAACCGGATTAACCGCTTTTTCAACAAATTAACTGAACCATTAACCGAACCAAAATTTTCCACAAATGTTTGATCCGAACCGAAAACCAAACCACTAAATATAGGGTATGACATAAATTATATATGTTTATAGATATATATTTTTTTATCATTATTTAATAAAAATAACACAAATATATATAGTCCTTTTCAATTCCCGAACAGTGGAGTCGAACCGAAACCTCAAAAAAACCGAAACGACGAAAATTTTCATCCGGCTCAAGTTCCTGGTTCAAAGACAAAAAATAAGTACGATAGGGTTGAATTCTTCTTTATCTTACACTTAAATTTCAACCTCTGGCGAAAATGAGCGTCAGAAGTAAATCTCTTCTTCATCTGGTTTTGCTTTGTTGTTTTTGCTTTGATGGTTAAAAGGATTGGTTCCGACTGATGAGCCAGTGCTATTTTCCATCGCCACTATAGTTTGTGGACTACGGGATGAAGCCGGTGTTGTACTTGCATTAGTTTGTCGCTGACTCAAATTAAATGTCGACGAAGAATCGGTGCGGCTCATGTTCACCGTAGGTGGTGATGGTGAGGTTGTCGTCCTGGTATTTGGATGCTGAATGATTGCAGGAGAACTTCCAGTGCGTGCGTGTTGTGTAGCAATTTGCGATGCACTAAAGTTGGAAGTAGATGAGCGTTTGTCCGCCAGCTTAAGTGGTAGCATTTGAGTGCAGATCGGTTGTTGTTGTGACGAGCTTGCATTGAAGCTGGCTGATTTATCGATTTTGCCGCTACCCGATGTGAAACTTTGGGATGTGGTCGAGGAGAGGGAGGACAGTTTCATTGGAATTTTCTGCTTAATGCAAGTCTGGTTTATTTTTGGCGCATTAGTAGCACTAAGTAGGTTAACGGGAGGAGTTTTAGAGGTCGTCGAAGATGTACGCCATTTGTCCTTCCGTCGATCAACAGTGTTCTGTGCTAATGTAATGGGTGTTGACGTGTCACTTTTAAAGTGTCCAGCCTCGTGACTGTCATGTGTATCATCGCTGGAAGGAACGGCTACGGGTATTGAAGGACTATTAATCAACAACGGCGTATTTGGCGATAGTAACAATCCCTGATTGGAAAGTAGTTCCATTTTGCGATAAAGTTGTTCACGTTGTTGTTTGATATCATCTTGTTCGGCTTTTATTTGCTCTTGGAGCTTAATTTGCTGCGCCCGTTTCTCATCTAATTCCAGCTCTTGTTGCTCCCTCTGGCGTATCCAAGCAGTCTTTTCTTCTTGTAATTTGTCTTGCAAATTTCGAAGCTCTTCCAACTGATCATTATGCGTGTAAGCGACGCGAGGACTCTCACGATACAATGCCAACTGCAACTGTAAGCTGTGTACGGTGGTCATCTGTTGTGACACAATACAAAGCAGAGTATGTAAGTGATGCGATATTTGTAATGCTGCATAATTGTGATCCTTGATAGTAATATCTTCACTTCCAAGCGTCGTAGCATATTCGCTCGTAGGATACGTCTTACTAGATGATGAATGCAGCTTCAAAGTTATTAATGACGAACCTGTTTTGGAATCATGTTTCTCTTCAAGTTCCTGAAGTCGTGGCGTCAAGGATTGCAATGTAGACATTTTTGAAATATCACGGCAAGGAAAACAATTTTTTCCTCGTTTTTCGTCAAAACCAGCAAATGTTTCAGCACGTTTGGGCAACGTAGGGGACGCATAGTTACCACTTTGTTTTTCACCCACCGAACTTACAGAACGCGACACTGGCAATCCAGTTGATGCGGTGTACACCATGGCAGCCAATTGACTAATGCTCTGCGCCGTGTTCAACACGTACTTCCACAATTCGGTGGTGTTGCAATCCACACCAACCAAATCCTTATACGAACCGAATGTAGCCAGAAAATTCGATGCATTCATAGAGCTTCCATTTACTAAGGTACCACTTGCGCCACTGCTGTTATTTGGGCCAGATGCTGCAGTCACTTCCGAAAAGTTATTCTGTTCCTTAAGCAAGTTCAATTGAAGGAAAACCTTATCTTCCAGTAAAATAGCATGGTCAATATCTTTCTGTCTGATCTTATCAATAAGATCACGTTTGCTGACACCTATACGAAGCTTTTCCTCAGCTGTGAGATCTTCACTTTCGATGACTTCTGAAGATGGACATTCCAGAACAGCTTGCCGTATCGACTGGATCCAGATATTTTTATCCTTCGGTTGCTGCACTTTCAACTCGTACATTTCTGGAAATGATGGATTCGATGAAATTATATAAATACCGCGTGCTTCCGTTCCAGCTTTTTCACGTATCAACAACTTTTGTAATGGCACTACGCCCGCCTTGTGTTCTGGTGTGAAAAATGTGTATTTATTGTGAGCTGAATTCTCACCAAGAAAGCAAAGACAGTCCGTAAGTACGACAACTAATACTATTTGCATCTTAGAACGACCCTGCATTAAAGTGGCAAGGCCCTCAAATTTCAGTCTGCGGCGTGATTCAATACCAATATCAGCTTTGCGAAAAGGTTTATTTTTATAGATAGCGAAAGATTTTTGGTCGACGCGATTAAAAATGTCAAGTTGTCTTTCTCGTAACTCTTTCTCTGCAACGCATGCGTCAACATCTATAAGCAAGGCCTTTACTAGATTCAGAGCATGTTGTAGCTTATCCGCTTCCAACTTATCATCCCGGGCGCTTTTCAGAAGCGGCTCAATCAGCAAAGGGTACTTGGTAAGACGCTGTGTAACAAAGAGTATACACTCTGGAATACCCTTCTTCTTTAACAGTGGGTTGGCTAAACAATGTTTGTACCATTGAGCAAATGTTTGATCGCGGCTCGTCAAGCATGCTTTGAAGTGCTCCAATGCTGTTCGGTGATTAGCACAAAATTCGCCGTACGCTAATCGTAAGTGCTGCGCTTTTTCCAATGAAAACAAATCTAACAATATATCAGCGATACTTTCAACGACGTACTGCTCCCTTTGTTTTTGGCGCAGTTTCTTCAAAAAGCTTATATGTAACTCTGTTAGTTCGGATAAACGAGGAAACATATTATTAATATTCATAGAGGGAAAATGACGTTCTAAGCTCTCGACGAAAACCTTTTGCATAACAAGTAGGGTCTGACAATGGTGTTTTTCAGTCATAATAAATTCATAGATATGTTCCTGTCTTTTGATCTGTTTTTCTTTGAGTGACTTTAAAACATCCTTTGGTACGCTGGGCGACCATGAGTCATGCTCTTCAGCTGCAATTCCCAGTACAGAGTCGGCGCCGAGGTCTTGTGCTTCGATGGGAGGGTCGTTAAGAAATTCCGAACGGATTAATGGAGCATCATCGTTTATATTTCCTCCTTGATCAATTCCATCGTAGAAATCTTGACCACCTTCTGTCTTTTCAGAACCTTTCTTTATGCCAGCTGAGGGCATTTTTTGACTACTGCCAGCACCTGATTTCTTGGCTTTACATTCCATTTGATGTTCTTTAATATTTGACATTGATATATTGCTACCGCAAGCATCACATGTTCCAGTTTTCCCTCCTGACTTCATCTTGCTTTTATCCTTTTTCTTGCGAAAGAAGAGTGAGCCGCGCTTACGTCGCTTTTCTACGTTGTCGTAAGCCTCAATTTTTACATGTGCACGTAAAAGGGTCTGGTTCTCATCCTCACTGTCGTAGAGATGTCGCCCTTTAATCTCCTCTTTAGCAACAATTGAGGAAGTAGATATGCTCTTTTGTAGAGGAATACGGATTTCTGTTGCAAGATTACGCTTGGCGGCAATGCGCTGAAAGTCGCGAGCCAATTCCGCCTCGTTTAGAGAATGTGTTGAAATTCCTAGAACAATAAATTTTGTAGATATTAGTTAAACTATGTAATATAGTATTTGGTTTTAGAATGTCATAAATAGTATTAAATATTGTTGAGCCACACAAATGCACAATAGGTCAAATCACCCCATTTTTTGTGCGAAATTCAAATTTCGGAAAGGAATAATTTTTTACTGCAGTCATGTTAGAAATACTCTAAAACCTTGGGAAATGTACCTTTGTTTTGCATAATGTTAAGTAGATATGTTAAGTATTTCAAATACAAGTGCTTGCAATGCAGATACAAAATACGCATTTATATTTTGTAATTAAATACATTTTTACAGAAGTATTTTGTACTTGTATTTTAAATACTTCCAGCAGTATTTGTATTTTGTATGTTTAAATACTTTTTCTATCCCTTATTTTTCGTCATATAAAGTTTTCCTGTACAACGCACAATGGGGCCGCTTCATACAAGTTGGTGCTCAAAAGTCTGTAACCGGATTTTTCCCCTGAAAACTACGAAGACACATCTAAAACGGAAATATAATATTGTTTCATTATTTTGTGTACTAACACTGTTCAACAAATTTTTTTTCTTGTTAAATTTAAAAATATGTAGATATTTACAGAAAAATAATAAATCCAGATAGTCCACGATTTCCAATAAGTCACTTCATGTTCTAAACACTGAAAAACTAATTCATTGTACATTGATAATTGAAATTATGGTAACGGGCCATAAAGATTACTCAAAATAGAAACAATAACAAAATGGTACAAGGCACGATAAAAATTTTATTCGTCTATATAATCATCAGATTCAGGTTGTGTATATTCAAAATTCTCTTCTAAAAGCATTTATTTTACTACTGGATCAAATGATTTTCTTTTTACTGTTTGTAAAGGTCTTAAACTCGTAATATGAGGATCAGAAGAATAAAGTAGACGATGGAATACATCTTCAAGGTTAGATTTCCTTGAAGTTTTTCGGCTAAAACGTTCATTATACGCTTTGAAATCTTTATTTCGCGATTCGAAAAAAACATGCGGCAGTTCAGAGAAGTTTCTTCAGATGGGGGATTAATCAGCCTCATTGCGAGAGTCGTGCCGAATGCAAGTCGTTTTTCGAGAGTCGAATCGTATCGAAAATTTAGCGTCATTGCCTAAAATTTCCACTCGACTAGTGTATTAAAACGGAAGAACTTGGCAGCACTGCATAGTTTTCGACAATTTTCGTCGTTTACTTATTTCAGCACGACAGTAGACAATGCTAATGTTGTCGAGTCGTACAATTCAGCCTAATTTACGACTTACGCAATGAGGCTGAATAGTGTCGAGAACTTATTTAGCTTCATTGCGCTTTCCACTAGCTCGCAGGCTCATTTGTGCTGCGAACGTTAATTGTTCGTGGAAATAATATTGACGAAGCTAGGCAGTTTTCCTACGTTTTGACTGGTCACTAAATTCCCCAAAGTCTTTAGTGGGCCTTTCTCCTTTAGGTATGTGATACACCACAAATTGACACGTTTTTTCTAACCTCGCTTTTTCCGATTCATAAAATCTATTTTTGTGTCTACCGCATCTGATCCATTTTAAGGTAATGTAGCTCTTGAAATTGCGCAAACATATTTGCAACTTCTTTCTTTCCGAAGCTGGGCAGCTGGTTTGGCTTGAAATATATTGTTCCACATCTCTGAACTTGCATTGTAGTAATTTAGACGGGCTTTTAAAAAATATTTCACACAAATCCCGATTTTTAATGGATAAAAGGGTTCCGTCTGGAATAAAAGTTAACAGTATTGAAATAAAGAATAAATACATACGGTATATACCATTCTCTTCAATTTAGTTTGAATTTTTCTTAAAACACTCCCACTTGGAACATATTTTTGATAAAATAATGACAAAATGTGCCTGACAAAAATTAATAAGTTCACGTTAAAACATATTTTTCTCAAAAATACGCAACGTTCTTGTGCAAATCTTTTAAGTTTACTTATATATAAAGACTTGCGGTTATAACAAAGAAAGATTCGGAAAAAGAACCTTGCGCATTTTGGAAAAAAACGAATTTAAAAATTCAGTATGAATTGTCTATTAAAATTTGTTCCTTATAACTCAGAAACCATTGAAATTATGTAATGATGTAAAGTTGTAAAACAATCAGCACACATTAGGGGTATTCTCGAAGTCTTGCACGATGCACGGATTGCACGAAATGCAAAAATACTATTCCAAATTTCGAAGAGTACGAGAACACCCCATTGCAAAGTGGTAGCATGCATGGGGAGCAAGCAGCGAAATTATGTATCAAATACAATAACAAGAGACAGCAAAAAAAAATTAAGTGAGCGAGATGAGAGGAATGAGAGAAATATGTAGCAATTCCAACAACAAAACAACTAGCACAGGGTCGCTATTATCTTGCTATGCTATTTTGCAAAATATATACATGGGTTTCGACGTTGCATATTTTGCAGCGATAGGAAATGTTGTTTCCCATGAATTTTCTTGTTGTGTGTTTGCAATTTATGCAATCCGTGCAATCCGTGCTACGTGCAATGGCTTTGCAAGATTTGGAGAATACCCCTATTGCTTATTCAACGACATAGTTCCTTCTAAACTAATAGTAACCTTAAACATAATAAGACAGCCTTTAATAACACATATGAACTCGCTTTCGATATCGGGAAAAAAATTTTCTGACTGAAAAGTTAACTTTGAGCTGTTGCACGCGGCAACTGGTAGTAATTCGGAACCCAATGTTTATACACGAGATTTGCTACTTTGTTATGTCTCTGCTGGTATATATTTTTTATCTTAAATACCAACTTTCGAAAAATGAGTTTTGAGCATCGCCCTCTATGAAGAAGCCCCAGTGTGCAACGCTGCCATTAATTTTTTTAACATTTGAACATTTTGACTGTAATGCAGCATTTTTACTGCATTTAGGGTTACTTTTAGCATTTAGTTTCTTAATGCAGAAATGGAGTTGCATTTAGTTGCATTTAGGTGACGAATTTTGTATGGATAAATGTGCATTTAGAGCTAAATGCGCGTAAGCAAAAACACCCAAAAGGTCATGCGAAACGCAATACACAAATTTCAGATTTAATCGTTCTCTTCTCTTCACCTTTCAATGAACAGATAAAGATTTTTTTAAGTTTTAACCGATTTAAAAAAAAGAAGGTAGGTTATCAATTCATCAGAATATTTTTTTTCTTTTTATGTATGTTACCGGATAACTTTGGACCGTCTTCGATGATTCTTTTTTTATCGGAAAGGTTGTACCTCAAGGGTGGTCCCATACTAATTTGGTTTACTCCCGATAATTGGATGAAAAAATAACGGTACTCCTTAATTTGTATATGAGCATTGAAGTGGTTTTTTTTTGCTCAAAAATTAATTTTTTGGTTGTTATGGCATTTTGTATGTCCAAAGTTTGAGATGGAGCATGACGCGATATCTACATACATACATAACGTTACCTTAATTCACAAAGGCCCTAACCAAGTTTTTTTTTTTTATTTTACAGGAGAAGCAAAAAACATTATAAAAATCAAATCATGCATACGTACAGGGCATTTTAAAAAGTGGCATGACTCCGTGGTTTTTATTCCAACCCTTTCAAATTTTTAGTGAAGGCATATTTTAATATATTCTACCAAAATATTTTAAAAACGCAGTTTCGAAAAATGGTAGTAGGTGACTTCAACGTGCACCACGATCTTTGACACTCAAGCCTGGCATATAATTGTGGGGGAAACCTATTGGCTGAGCAGATAGACCTACGCTAACGCTGGCATCAGACCATCTGCCCATAATCATATCGATCAATAAGTCCACCGACTTTGCACCCGCGGACCACCGAACCTATATCAACTTTAATAAAGCTGATTGGAAGGGCTTCGGGGAAGCTACCGAGACCAGCTTCGCCGTCCTCCCCACACCATCAGACGTACACGCTGGCGAACGCCAGTTCCGCAGGGTAGTCACTACCGCAGCGGCACGTTTCATACTATCCGGACGCATCGCGGAAGTCCTCCCAAATTTCCCGGCTGAAGCAGCTGTACTAGCAAATGAGCGGGACGACTGGAAATTTTAATTAATACTTTTTTATAAATGACTAGTTCACGATACATATAACACCGTGCGATAGTAAATTTTAGGCCCCTATTATGAGTTGCATTCGATCTTCGACTGTGGTCGAAAGTGCTGATCGAACGAATTTTCATTTGGTACTATGGAACTCATTCGGTGAGGAATAGCACCATTAGCGCACACAAGGGGTGGGTTTTGGGGTTCAAACCCCCCCTAAAGCTAATAACCTCAAATACAAACTCAAGGAAATTATAAGAAATATTTATTATAATTTCTGTTGCTTGAAAAAGCGCTTTGCTTTTGCTGTAAATTTTCATGAGGAAATAAATATACGAGCATTTTTTTCTTGAGAGCTGCAAACTGATTTATGAAAATTTGGTAGAAGAAAATTTCTTTTCCATTTCTCGTCCGTCGTTTTATATGAATTTTTCGTTTTTCTTGAGAGTTCAGTTAATTTTTTCGGAACTCGAAATATTAAAAAAATTTAGCAATCGTGAAAAATCACCATCTATCGAAAACCAGAAACCAGAAATCGAAAAAATGAACATAAAAGTGCAAAAATTCATGGAATCAATAAATTTATTTTTACTGACTCTTTTTTAAAATTTTTTATTAGGTACTTTTGAAAGTTGAGCGCATCTTGAGTTTATAGAACTTTTTATTAAACAAGTAGTTTTTAAGGAAAGAACACAACCGACTTCAATTCTCATATACAAATTTAGGGGTACCGTTAATTTCTTCGTGATCCAATCATCGGATCTCTAAACCAAATTACGGGTACCATCTTTCCAATAAAAAAAGGATTATTGAAATCGGTTCACGTGGTAATAAAGTTATGTATTCCGGCGAATTGATAACCTCCCCTTTTTGAAGTCGGTTAAAAGTGTTTGAGTTCTGTTAATCTTATGTAAATAAAGTGCA